CTTGAATCTATTTTCAGAATTTTTGATTCTATTTAATATATAGAAGAAGCAAAAGAAATATCTCAATAAAAGCACTCATGAAAATAATTATGAAATAAAGATAATATATAGATAATTTTCAATCATGAGATTGGATTCTGATATAATTATTTTATCGATTCTGAAACTAAAATATTGAAAATTAAATTTATTAAAATCATGCCTCCCAAATCTGGAAATATATATTAATTATTAATATCAAATATATATATATATATCGAAAATCTCGAAATTTATATTTGAAAATAGTAAGATATCGAGATAAATAAAATAGAATTATTAAAAATGAAATTTCCAGACGATCCTAGCATAGATGACTAAAAAAGAATGATAGCTAGTACGAATTTAAAGTCGTCTCAAGTTGTAAAGAATATTTAGGATTATTTGATTATGATAGTGTGTGATGATATATTCTTGATAAATATTATTCAAAAATAATAAGATATTATATATATATAATATCATGATTTAAAATATGTTTATGAAAAATATAATCTATATAAAAGAATAAATAATATATTCGATATATGAAATAATATATTCTTATATATGAGAAATATCATATATATAATCATTAATTTATATATTATATGAATCGATAATAAACCTGTCTTTTCAAATAATAAAAGAAAGATTAAAAATCTATGATGAAATATAAATAAATATATTTCTAAATAGCAAAGAATAATAAAAATGAAATGATTCTAGATTAATTAATGCGAAATAAAATAGAATAAATAGATCTTATGAAAAGAAATAAACTAAATAGATATAATGAAAAGAAAGAATATGAAAATATAAATAAAGAATGATATCGATAACGAATGATATAATGAAGAATGATAGAAATTATAATAAATAAAATATCGATAGATATCATATCGATTGATAAGAAATAAATATATGAAATCATGATTAATCAGATAATATCAGATATCACGAAAGCAGAAGATATGATAATAGATGACGGGCGCCATGACGGACGGCGATATTATATGATATATATCGGACGATTTGAAAAAAATATTCAAATCATAGAAATAGCTATCTTTCAATATTTTTCGTCGCGAAATTCTATTCATGATTTCATCTTAAAATTATATAAATAATGGCACGATAGGTTTCAATGACCGAAGATATTAGATTTGAATTCTGAATTATATTATCTATATAGTTTGCCCCGAATAATCTCAATAATTCTGATTCTTATTTCAAAATTTAATGAAATTTTGAAGCAAGAAATCATAGAGAATAGAATACGATTTCTCATCTCAAAATATTAATCATAATATCCTATATCTAGAGCAAGAGATATCAATTTCATTTTTCTTGAGTTTTAAAATATCTATAAAAAGATTCTTTCGATTCAATATGTATAATCTTTAATTTGAATAATTATATATAGAATATATGAAAAAAATTGAACTTCAATCATCCATAATAAAAAATAGTATATAATTTTTATCGAAATTTCTTTAGATTAGAATATCAATTATTTCTTAATTTATAATATTTGAAGATTTCAATATTTTAGATCAAGAAAATTGAAGATTATAGATTTATATCTATTATATCTTTCAATTTTTTACTTTTAAATCTAATTTATTCATTTCTCGAAAAAATACGATATCGTATAATTAAGAAGAAATAATTTCTGAAATCTTAGGAATTTATTCATTCCGAAGAACCGATTCTAATCTAGATTTAAATTGAATTTAGAACTTCATGAAATAAAAAGATACTTAAATTTTTGAAAAGGATTTTAAATTCTAAGATTTTGAAATCTAAAGAATTCTTTTTTATTTTATGATAGTTATAAATCATCTCAACCACTCCGGATATATTCAGTGTATTATTCGATTTAGTTTGAGCGTCTCATTATTATTCCTAAGATTCTATTATAATTATTGAAATATAATTTAAATTTGATATATAGAAAATATCGTCTTTGAGGAATCTCATATCATCTTATAAATTTTATTAGAGGGTGCGTCGGAATACGGATCCGTATTTTTCGAGCGAAAGAAATGATTTTCAATAGACCTCTTTTTATTATCAGGCATTATGACATATCTTGAATAAAATCAAATATAATGGCAAAATCTCCTGCATATTATAAGCATGCTGAATATAATGGATAAAGATAACTTTATAATAGATATTTGATTCTGTGCGACCAAATTATCTATTGGAGGCATTCGAGCTTGTCACCCATCCCATTTCTCTAGAGACTCAGGGAATATGAGCATTATATCAGATTCTATAACCTATTTTTCGATCTTGGAATCCATTATATTTTTCAAGATTCCGATTTAATATCAATTATGTCTTCTGAGTTGGGATAGAAATATTATATTTAGACTTCAAAATCTGGGCTCTCCACCATATTCTACTTAAATTGCTGGGATTGCCAGATCATCTCTTCTTAGTCTTTGAGATATTTCTGACCTAGTAGTCTTTATCAGATTTTTTATCTCTAAGCTATTATCAATGGAGAATATATTAGATATGTCATCAATATGTCCTAATCAGAACTTAATATGATTTGGAATCGATCAGCTTTCTTCGAGATAATGGACTGAATCCCATCATCTCCCTTGAAATATTTTTTTAGATTTGTCATCCAAATTATTAGAAGCTAATCGTGATATTAGTATTTGAGATGCATCATCTCATCTCCTTCATATATTTTAGATTAAGATTCAGCGCATATATATATTATTAAATTAAGGAGGCATCATATCTAATCATTATTAGAATTTTTTTTGTAATCTTCCATTATATCCATATATATTTGGAAAGCGTCGTTTTTCGGACCATTCTTCTATTCTAGCCCTTTGAGTTCTTCTATATCAGTCGTCCGAATCAATTTTTTTATTGATTGCTTCAATCTTGTCCATATCTGCGCAATTTGGGGTCCATCATCTTCAATCCTAATAATAAAGATTTGGTCATCCGCCCATTGCTCTTGTTCATATCCTATCAATGCTGAGGTTTCAAAGGCGCAGCAAAATTCCTATAAAATAAAGGGGGGGTCGCCTATCCACTCCGCAATCTGAAGCGTGGCGATCTGAGTGGCTAGAAATATCCCCTATTATTTCGTATTAGAGCTTATATATCTCTTGGGGAATGGATATATTATTTCTGATAATATAATTTTTAATTACCCAGTACAAGACAGGAGAGAAACGAGTGCTTCGCCCAAGAGCACAAATATTATGATGGAATTGCGAGAAATCTTCAATTTCTTAATTATTCAAGTCATAATAAATTCGCATATAGATATATATCAATTCGATAATTGATTTATCCCTATAAAATCGTATATCTGATATTATCATATATATTTTCGAAATATATTATAGATCTAATATGATATTATATATATAGTTAGATAGAATTCGATAATGGCCCCGCTAATATAACCTCCGAAAGTCTTAATCTAATCATTTATATCTGATATTTATAGATAAGATATATATAAATTCATATATCATATATAAATCTATATATATATATATTCGTATAGACTCATGAAATTTAGATATATAATTCCATCGATCTATCTATATATATATATGCAAGCATATATACGCTATCATACATTATATCAGTTTATATAAATTTCTCCATATATGAATCTATGAATACCCAGGAATGCATAGATAAGGTCTACTTATATTTAAATCATATAAAAGATAATATTTTATTTTTATAATATCTATAATCTTATATTATATCCTTGATATATGTCGGAGGATGGATGACCCATAGGCTTGGCTCTAGGCTCAGCAGGACTGCACTCTGAGATCCCTAGATTAAGGAGGAACCGGGGGAAAGAAGAGCAAAAAAATCATATATATATATGCCGTATCTATGATATTGAAGCATATTATTTATATGACTTCAATAACAGATTATATATTTATCTTACTCATTAAATAATATATATAAGGCAAATAAAAAATAATATTTTGCTAAATTCAATACTTCGATATTTAGGCTCCCAGAAATCGAGAGAGAGAATAGCGAAAAAAAAAATCTATTAATTTTAATTTTTTTTTCTCCTCCTCTTCTCGATGCTTCCAAGAAAAATCTAGAGAGTACAAGCTTCGGGAACCCTTAGTCTCCAAATTTAATTTCGCTCGAAAATCTGCAACGAAATATTTAAATTCTTAAAAAATTTAATTTCTAATTTCAAATTTCTTCATCATCTACCCTTTCCTATAATATTATCGTAATATGTCGCTTCCTAAATATATCACTACTACAATTCAGATAATATATATCTTTATTCAAGAACTTTTCTTGAGTGCACGGAAATAAATAGATACAAGACTCCTACAATATTTGCGCTTATAGATTGGAAAAAAGAAAATTTCAAAATATTAGTTCGTATTTCGACGTGTTCTATTTCATTAATATCCATAATTTTCGATAATCGCTTATTTTTTATAAATATATAATTATTGGACGCCATCATATATATATATATATCTATCTATTTATATCAATTTGGGGAATCAGATATTTTACCAGATATTTTGATATATGATTCTCTACCCATTGTCAATAATCGAACATGCATAACCAAAAGAATCTCAAACAAAATCTCCAAGTTTATTCAGGGGAACTAGAAGAGAAGATATACCAAAGAGTTTCTACATAAACATCCTGCAGCAGTTAGCTTCTTCTTTCTGAGTTGGCAGGCAGAAAACGATCACGTCTGTTCATGTGGACCCAAGTCCAAACAACGAGGGGCCACCAACGCCTGCCTTAGCGTATTTTCGATTTATTAAACATGCAATTCAAATTCATGTGATCCTGGCGCTTTTCAGTCTGGCAACTAGAACTAGCCATGACGAATAAGCCATCCTCGCAACCATTGACAGGCTTCGTAGGGCTAACCGACATGATTGCAGGCTAGTCAGCACCTCCATTCACTGCGCCGGTGGCGGCGGAGGCGGTGGGACTTCAGCCTCCTGGAAGAGAAATCTGCAGCAGAAGCGAGATTGCTGGTGTCGGAAGTGGGATTGTTCCTACTCCGAAATTGAAATACAACTCGTATGTTCTAGGCGGCACTGACTGGGTGCTCCATACCTCTCTGCCCATTGACAAAGCATGCTGGTGGCCTCCTCGCCGCTGAGGCTCTTGCACATACAACCAGCCACTTTGTGCCACATACTCACGGCCCGACCAGCCTCCTTTCCCCAAAGACACGCACAACACTTTCTGCCCAAGACATCGAGCAGTAGGACCACAGGCGGTTCAAGATCTGTGGCCCCACGAGGAAGTGGGGACTGCTGCAACAGGCTGCCACATCGACTCCTTGTGCGGTACTGACAGACCCCACTATCGTACAGAGTCACAATCAGTCGGTCACTGTAGTAGTGCAACACAGGATGGGAAGGTCGAGACACTGGGTGCCAAACCCGCTGGCACGTGGGATAAGGAGACTTACTCTCCAGGACTCGAGGCTCTAGCCATGGCCACAACACCTTTACGGCAATGGCGAGCAGCTGCGTGCATTGCAAGGATACTTTAAGATAGATTCACACGTTTGTGCCACTCTGCTGTCACGGACTGAACCGCTGCCTGAGGTGGAGGAGGTGGAGGAACTCGCTCCTGCCATCAGCTCGGCGATCGTCACATGCTAAAACTCGCAAAGCTCTCGAGCGTTCGGGATCTGCTTTCCAATCGTTCCGGAGTTCGGACTGAAGAGCTCTAAAAACCTGCAAGCGGGAATCCGACACTAAACACGCAGCTCTGATCATGCGGTGAAGCATGCTCCTGGAACTCCAGGCCGCGGCCACGGGTCGCCTCTGGCGATGGATGGCCCTGACACAATATGTCGATGTTGGCAGGCATGCACAGATTGAAGGATTGAGATTGCGAGTTTCACGACACCAAGTTGTGCCAGGGCAGAACAGGGGACTGTCTAGCCGTCTAGCCCTGGTGCGATCGAAGCCTCGGGCGGAATGTAGGCGGTTGTTGCCGCCTGGGAACCAACTGTGGCATGCAATCCCTGATCTGACCTCTCCGGAACGACCTGAAACTCAAAGCCTGATCAGCTGAGCCCACACGGCCTGCATGCTTCAAGATCGCGTATCAACAATGGCAATGGCAGCAGCGGTCCTTTTTCCTGTTGTGGTTGAGCGTGATGTCTCAAGCGTAGATTCTTTGGCCCTTTGCTCGCCGTGACTTTCTTCCAAGACCACAAACTGTAGCCATCTACAAAGGAGTTCACAGAAGCCCGAGCCGAACATCCTTGTCCACGATCGAAGGACAGAGCGAGCAAAACAGGACACAACGACTTGCATGGTTGGCGGAAGAAGTTTATGCTCCACCAAGTCATTCCCAACGACAGGCATCGCAACAGCGTTCTGGCTTTGACATTTGGGGGGGGCAATGCACCAAACTTCTTCCCTGTGCTTTCACGACCTCCCGGGTGTCACACGAGAGTTGTGTCGACTACCTGGGCCAAGGCTGACCAAAAGGACTCTGTCAGCGGACTTCGATTCTTCGCCTAGCCATGTTGCAACCACGTGCTGACGAGCTGTTAGGTGCTTCAGGAACAAGCCCTCATTACACCGATGCCCAAGGCGATCACCGAAACCTCAAATCCGTGCTTCCGGGCGCCTCCACTGCTTCCGCCATGGCTCCTTTCAGCTAAGAGCTGGCCAGACCCAGCAAGCTGACAAGAAATTCATCTAGCCATGGATGCTGTGGAACACGCATCCCATCTAATGATCTAATGACCGACGCGAATCACTTTACAGTAACATTCGCCAATAGCTAAACTCGACTGTTTCAGAATGGGTAGCGAAACGCGCTACAGGCTGGTATCACACATTCCAGATCTCGGATGTAGAACGACTCGTGGCCCTCCCTGATTTGACTTCCATTCCCCGTGCGAGCCCTTGCTGGCGCTCACCTTGAGGAGGCTGGCATTGCAGCAATTTGGCTTCTCCTGGGAGAACACAAGCCAAGGCTGGAAGAAGGACTCTTCAATGTTGTGTTCCCAGCAGCACCCGTTACATATCAAAAACCACAGTCTGCCCTGCCGGATGTCTGAAGACGCTTCTGCCCCTGGGCTTCGGCCAAAGTAGCCCAGAACGCGGAGCACGAACGCTTGGCTGTGTGCCTTGGCACCGATGCCAGCTACGAGTAGGCCAGTTTCGGAAACTAGAGTAATTATCAGGTGTTGAGCTCACGAGCTCGCGATTGCTTAAGTGCAATGTTGCCATCCGACATCACAAGGAACGGATGGGCTGGGCGCCACATGAAACCCTCTAGAAGACCCCACTATTGTGTCGGCATAGCACTGTTTCTGGGAACACTGGCTTAACCCACACGTGATGACTTCAGAACTCGGCCCTCTCGATTGGTGGACACTCATTAACTCATCACGGTCGGGCAACTCGCCGCAGGCTGTAGATCCACCTTCCTCAGAGTGCGGCGATGTAGCTTCAAAGGGAAAGATCTGCGGAAAGTCAGGCACCAAGACCGCGAAAAGCCCGTGCTGTAACTGCTGGCTACGGCCCTATTTCGATCACCTCAAACTGTCTCTTCCTGAGAATCTAAGAACTGCACCTGTGTGTGTGTTGCAGCTACAGTAGCAGATGCCGCCGCCACGGTGGCGATGATAACGACGACTACGACGAAAAAGGCTCTGCTGCTACTGCTACTGAAGCTGTTGGTGATGTGGCTGGTCATGACGATGATGATGATGGTGATGGTGACGATGATGATGACAGTGATGATGATGCTGGCGGTGTTGATGATGATGATGATGATGATGCTGATGACGACGACGACGACAATGTGTGTAATGGTAGAGATGACGGTGATGGCGATCTATGACGACTGATTATGCTTCTGCAGCTGCTGCTGGTGCCGCTAGCACCGCTGGAGGCGGCGGTACTGGTAGTACAGTGATGGTAATGCTGGTCACTCGCCTAGCTTCGAGCTGCCTGGCATTAAACATGCCATGTTATGTAGTAGCTGTTCAGAAAACTTGTCCCAAAAAGTTGCCATGACACAGGGATCTGCTTACAAGGAGGTGTATTTCCAGTGGACCCTTTCTTGTCAAGACAAGTAGAACACACTGAGCTTCCTATGCTTCGCAGTTTCTCGTTTTGCCGCCATGTTTCGCAGAGTCCCGTAAATCATCTGACAGCAGGACCGGATTGCCGCTGGCAGTCCTGGCAGAGTAAGTCAGAGTTAGTGCAGCTCACGGTTCACAAGGAATCGGCGGTGCCAGCCACGAGCAAAGGAACACCGAGCAGAAGCATGTTCAGACCGGGATGCCAACGAATCCCATCCCAAAAGAAGTTCAGCGCGGGACCCAAAGACATATCGGCCTCTTGACGATGGACTCTGCTTGGCCAGAATCTGCCACCCTAGAACCTCGGCAGCATTCTTCCTCACCCTTGCCCGTAAGCGAATACCCAGAGTTCTGTCGGTTGTCTTGACCTCAGCCGCCATAAACCTAATTACAGTACGCAACTCTCCTCGGAGCAAGCGACACTTAATTACATACCCTCAAGCCTTTGAAGACAGCACTCCCGTTTCGACAGCCACGGGGCGTTTACCATTGGCAGGGCTCTCCTCAGCTGTGCGCAAATCTAAGGCTTCTGGGCCTATCCAGTATCCTGCATTGACCGCCACGGGAGCGTCTGTGCACACACATAAATGTCGATGAATCTGCCTCTCGCTCTCGGCAAATTGAACACAGCTCTGTGTTTGTGAGTGCTATTGATTGGTGTGTCCTTCGCAAACCGGATCGGGCACAGAGAAGGGGCTGGTCGCTAACAACACGAGTGCGTTGTGGCGGTTCGCGCCGCATATTTCGTTCTGCAGAACCTTTGAGCTTCAACATGAAAGGCTCAGCGAGCACCGAACCTGCCAAACCTGAAGGAAGATCTCGTCTTGTCAGCACGACGATGAGTTTCTAGTGCACTTCAGAAGCGGGCTACGAAAGCTAGAGCAGAGGACTGCAATGCAGCTGACCGCAGTCTTTTCACTGAGGCCGCGCACCGCGCGCGAAGCCGGACGGCGCGGCACAAGAACTCATGCAATCCATGCAGGTTTGCTTCCAATGCTGCAGATATTTGTTCCATTAAGTTAAATTGTTGAAACTTTCCTGAGAACGTAGCATGTCAGGTGCGTCGGCTTCAATGCTTCCACGTGCTCGTCGGCTGCAGTTCTTGGCCCTGAAGTGGCAACTGCGCCATCGTGCGAAAGTCATCGCTTCAGGGTCAGACGTGACGTAGGCCGACTCGGCCATGCAACACAAAGCGCAGCTTAGCCATGTTGCTTGTTGCGCAGCAAACCTTATGGTGGGGGGGAGGGGGACCCAAGGTAGGGGGCGGGCCCCCCCACCTTGTTCAATGTTGCCGGGACCTACTGGTAAAGGGGGGGGCCCGCCTTAGTTGCTCTAAAGCAATCATTTCCGTGGTGGCGCAGGGCCCCCCCCCCTCCCCCCCTTCACTATTGAAAAAGGAGCTTATAAGGTCATGCGTGCTTTTTTGACCTAGACCTCTATTACCTAAGCGAACGGTAAACGACAACTCCCGCAAGCTCCACAGAGCTAGCTTTCGTGACTAGTGAGGCTGCTAGCTTGTACCGCGAGTTGTCTAGGGTCCAAGCCGCCGCGCTGTTCCAAACCCCTTTGTTGTTGGCAGTTGCGGCTACTTCGTTACTGCCTGACTCGTGTTTAGGGCAACGGAACAACTCGGGCCTGGAAGGCTCTGGCCACAAAATCGAGCTAAACAGGCTGGAGTTAAGGGTTGTTGCTGGAAGTATCGGGGACGATGCTCTAAACCAATAGCTGTTGTGAGGGGAAGCTGTTGCCCGCTTTCGCTGGGAAATGCACAAACTGAAGCTACCCATGTGCAAACCAAAAACACCTGTGAGACTAGTTGTGCCTCGACTGGAGAGCAACTGTCTCATGTTCAAAGATTATTGCTGCCGACGCTCGGGCTGCAAATAGCACATCGCGTAAGCAACACCGCCCGCCAGCGTGCAAATGCAGAGGGCCAAAGCCGTGATCGCCACCGGAACGATCCTGGACACAGCTGCCGTGCTTTCTTTACAGCTCAATCTTGTCGCTAGTAGGAATACCAAGGGCAGCACCTGGGTTTTGCAAATCTGAACTTCGCAGAAGCTTCATATGCCCGCAGGTTTAGGTCTTAGGCGTAGGTACACATTAGAGCGCGACATCTCAAAGCCAAGTCTCCACGCCATGTCCCCGGTGGCCGCCGGCTCTGATGACATCTCCGTCGTTGAGCCCGCACTTTGCACAGCAGGCCTTCGCATCGTTGGATTGAGTGAGCCCCAACACGCGAATGAGAATCACAGCTGGAACCATCAGCCCACGGTCCCTGCCGCGTTACTCTGCGTTTTAATGCTGGCCGGTAGGTACGTGGGTCCGGCAGCTTAAGCCAACAAAGCGGGTTCTTCTAGAAACTAAGCTCTGATGCCACGGGAAGCACCAAGCCCTTCAACAATCTGTAAAGCTCTCCCGGACCCGGTGGTGCTCGGCGAAGGTGGTGGGCTGGGGCTCGGCAGCGGTGACCAGGACTCGCCGTCCTGCGAGATCGAAAGATCCAAAGAGACTTGATTCAAGCTTGAGGGCTTTCCCGTGAGGGGTGCCGCAGGACTACTTGCTCGAGAAGCGGGGATGCTGCCCGGATGCTGCAGCTTTGGGCTTCGGACTTGTCTCTCGATGTTTCATTTCTCCTGTGCGGCTGATGCTAATCCTATCCTTTCTTCTATGACTACGTACACCTAGGAGACTTCCGGATGCTGAGGTCAGCCTACGAGTGATTTGCCAGCCGATCTCAACCAGTTCGATTTGCTCTTTTTTGCTACGGGACCAGCCTGGGCAGGGCATCAGCCCGTAGTTTACACCAATGCTTTCTGAACGGGACGGCGTACGAGAACGGGGCCGGAGAAGGAAGTTCTGCAAGGAAGCATGGACAATCGTGCCAGTTT